AAGTGTTGATTTCATCATCTTTTGGTTCACCTACAAGTTATACGGATGGATATGACTTAAGCAGGCTGTATGGTAACTTTCGCAATAACAAAAGAACCAACGAACTACAACTGAACATTAAATACAGTTATCTTCAAACAAAGATTTCAAGTATCAGTAATCCACAAACTCAAGCCAAAAGACTGATATTGATATCAGTCAACATGAACTTTTCACATACAACTACACATGGACAGCTCACTATGCTAACCAAAAAAGAGAGCAAACAGAAACTTAAAGAAAATGAGTGAAAAAGGACAAACATAAATTAACTATTAATTGGTGAGACAGGGTATGCATCGTCACAATTAACACAAACATAAGTCACTAACCATGAAAGTTGACGCAGACTAAATTGGCACTACTAAAATGACTATGCCACATATACATTGAGGACGGGCAAACAAACAGGATGGATAAAGATATGATTATATCCAAGACACAATAAATTTGCAACAAACCTCAGGCTTATTCCGTATGTTCTTAGCCCTGTGAGCATAATCTAATGTGCTAAGAGTCTCCTCAAGACAGTGAACAGCTGGTGATACTGTAGCAATAATACAAGTCTTTGTTCTCCCACCTAATGAATCTCGAAGCAAACGTGTGAGCTTGCTATCCCTGTATATGAGATGGGGCAAAGGTAAAAAACACATCATCAACCATGATAGCAATATATAGGCAACAAAGTAATCTTATGAAAATCAATTCAAACCTATAAGGAATATGTCCCAGATGCTCCACCAATGCATTTATTACTCTGCCTAATGTAAGCAAACTTTTGTTTATTTCACCAGCTTCTCTTGCCCTGCCCTATAACGTTGAATATGTACTTAGCAAATAGAAGGATCAATATAACTAGAAAAACAATTGATTAACCTTGGACATCAGTAGTACAAAATGAACAGAGGTTTATGTCCCAAGCAGAAAACTAAAAATAGTTCATCACTTAGAAACCAAACGAGATTACTGACAGCTTACCTCCCTAGCGCCAGAACGAGAGATGTTCTCTGAACCAGCTAAATCAACCAAATTCAATTTTCCGCACTTTATCAATTCTTCACCTTCAGGCGTCGCTTCCTTTATATGTATCGTTATGGAAAATAGTGAATGCGAACGACTAGATCCAAAGAGAGATTATGTCACCCAAAGTTTCCAATTTATACAAAAACTAAACCTAGCATTCAAAGCAGAAACATGGTAAGTACCTTGATTGTTTGTTTAGTAAAGTTTCTGCTGTTCGACGTTTAGCAGAACCTCTTTCAAGTAAAGTGAAAATCTCACTGGCACTTGTAACAATTTCCTCCTCCAATCCTCTGACAAGGACACCTCCTTTCCCATCTTCCATGAGTGGCAATTGTTTCTTTTGTTTATCTTCCTGGACAACTTTGGATATTTCTTCAGGGGCAAGCAAATCTGTTATTTCTTCATTATATAACTCCAAGAAAGTGACCTTCACACTATACTCTGCATTTTGACTCTCTAATGTATCAAAAATTTGTTTTACTGCTCTGGGTATCACTCCTGCTTCAGGAGGCAATTCTCCATTTGGACCGCTCTTTAATTAAAAAAAAAAATGCTACAGGTCAATATGACTCCAGATATACTAAAGTTTTTTTTAAAAAAAAAAATGCAAGTACAATCAGTGGAAAAGTAGTACCTTGGACCTCTTACATTCACCTTCCATGGTGTACGTTTTTCCCGTTCCAGTTTGCCCATAAGCAAAAATTGTACAGTTGAAACCTTCTAAAACCTCATTAACTATTGGAATAACTGCTTGTTCATATAGATCTCTCTGCTGGGCACTAGGCCCAAACACCTGAAATCGCCAAATTAATTCCTATAAAAATAAAACTGCACACAGTATATATATATATAGATAAAACACAGAATCATGGCAGGCCCAATTGGCAACTAAATCTGAACCTCGAGCAGCAAATTTCTTTTAATAACGTTCCAACATTCTCACCATACCAATTATCTAAACGTTGAATCCAAAGACATGACAAACTACACTACACAACAGAGCTCAAATTCATCAAAAAAGAGAACCAAACCTTGTCAAACGTGAAAACTCTGTCAATATGTTTGCCGGCGATATTCTGCATAACAGACACCTCCCTGTGGAAATCATTGCACGTCACCACCTGAGGCGCATTGTTCCGCAACTCATCGTCACTGAACGGCCTTCGAAAAATCGCCAAGATTCGTCAGAAAACTCCCCCAAAAAAAACAGAAATGAAACTCCCAAACCCTAATTTTCAAATTGGGTAACTCATAGTTACCTGCAGCGGAGGAGAACCTGGACATTGACGCCCTTCTCTTTCTCCCGACTCGTCATCTTCCCTCGGGTGTGTATGTGTGTAGATTTACAGACTTTTTGCAGATTTTGACGGCTTTTGGTGTGTGACTGTGCGTGAAAAAAATGAGAATGTGAAGTGAGAGCGGGATAAAGGTATGTGCGAGAATTTGAATTTTTGAACGCACGCTCCTCTGTGTGTGTTATGTGTGGCTTTTCGATCAATTTATGAATGGAAAGTCGGATCTGACGGTCAGATTTGTGTCTGAATAAAATATATTTGTACAATTTGAGTTTCCATTTTGATTGGGCCTAGAACGGATTGAATGGGCCCATGCATTTGTCTTACTTATCTACTGATCAGTGCAGAGCCCAAACCCAACATGCTTCAAACTGTAGTAGTGATTTTTATTTTTATATTTATTAACTATTACATGTAAAATATTTAGGGTACGTATTCCACTGTTTCTCTTTTGTTGAATAAATCTGAATAGACAAAAAAATCGGCTCATTAATTGTGTAAAGATTTGTTTCTCTTTTTCCTGTTTTAGTTATCAAAACCACTGTTTGACAATAAATATTTGTTTTTCTTTTTCCTATTTTTAGTATAAATCTACACGAGCTTATCTCTGTTAGAAAATCTCATTGCATACGTCTCACGTGTTTAAAAAATCTCATCCCTTATCTATACAGATTTGAAAAAATAAAATAAAAATCAATTCATAATTACTACTAGAAATTCATAATCTTTAAAAAGAAAAAATAAAATAAAATAGAAACCAATTCATAATTACTACTATAAATCCATTATCTACTTTAAGAAGTTAATTTTCATCGGTCTAATTACTAATATTTTTACAAATATTATAAGCTAACCATAATGGTGTGTAATCAAATTTTTTTATTCTCTTATACAAAATAATTTTACATTGTTTGACCCCGAATCTTTAATTTATATTTATTAAGTATTGTTGATCCTCTCTTTAATTTATAATTATTTTTTTTTCTTCCTCTTTTTAAATAGGATCAATAGTAATTTCCTCTTCCGCCATTGAATGACTCAAACTCGAGGTCTATTTATAATATTGTTAATTTAATATTATTCTCGTGCATCGCACGGGGTATACACTAGTTTGTACAATTTGAGTTTCCATTTTGATTGGGCCTAGAACGGATTGAATGGGCCCATGCATTTGTCTTACTTATCTACTGATCAGTGCAGAGCCCAAACCCAACATGCTTCAAACTGTAGTAGTGATTTTTATTTTTATATTTATTAACTATTACATGTAAAATATTTAGGGTACGTATTCCATATAAAAAAAAATCCAACATTTTAACTCAACTATTTTTTTAACTCAACCTCACTATCATCAATATTATTAATATAATTAAATAATATCAATCAATCATTCATACACACTACATCAACCTTAATTCAGTATTCATTCACTCACATTATTTTAACTAATCATCTATCTCCTATTTTTGCATCAAATCAATTTTAATTATATTTTAAATATTATTTTAATATACCCACTGACATTAAATGAATGCTAGGCACTATAGTCACGTCATAAATTAGTTTTTGGCAGTCATAGTTTCAGATAATTAGACAGTGGGAATCACTATAGTCATGTCAAGCAATGATTCTGCGGTTATTATTACTCTTTAGATACACATATAAATTAGTTTAAGATAGGTAATTCATAATTAAAACACACTGGCGAAATTATTCTGTGACGGGACTGTAATCATTTTCTATAAAAATTATAAAGTCATGTATATTGATAAAGTATGGTGGTGAGAGTCACCTTGAGAACCATAGGTCATTAATTTATATTCCATTGTAGGCAAAATTTAATAAACGTTAATATGGATTGTGAGGAAGCTTATGGGCTAAGCCTTTAACGATGGGTTGAGTGGTGGATCATGGTAAATAAATTATTTTCTTAAAATAAAAATAATAATTTTTAAAAAAAAATCGTTGAAATTTGTCACTAATGTTAGTGTTAAAATTACGAACATTTGAATTTGTTATATAAACATATATTTAAGTGACAAAAATTTTATTGGAATACATGCTCATATCAAAAAATTTCTTGCGCTATACAAAAGCTCGCATTACGATAACCATATTATATACTTTTGGTCTTGCAGACTATTTGAATCGGCTTCATGACAATTGTTGCGGTTCAACCAGCGAAGGTGAAGGTTAATTTTTTGATCTAAAATATATTTCGTTGAAAAGTAGTTGATTATCTAAATTAAGATGAGTTCGTCGACTAATGGAATGGTTGGTTAACAATGTTGCTATAAAACCAACTGGTTGGTTTCCTTATGGAACCAACCAGTTGGTTTTATAGCAACATTGATGGTTAATTACTTAATTGTTTCCAGTAGATTATAAAAACAGTTTCATATATCAATAAAATTAACAAGGCATTTTTTTTCTAGAACGGTCCACAATTAATGTTGGCCATTTTTTGGGAGAAAACCATCATATATAGGTATCATCAAGAATGGATAATAATTAAGTTGCTATTTTAATCAATATTCATAGAATAACCAAAATATATATTGTACCAAAATTGATCATTTTTAGTTATTATTTTTGTACGAGTTTTGATTAAAGTGATTACTTAGTGGACTGTTCTTGACGACGCTCTATCTGATTGAACGTTTTTCGAAAAATTACCAACACCGTGTATTAAAAATGAAAATTTAGCCCATTCAACAAAGTTGCAATTTCAACAGGACTTTTTTAGCTCGTCGAATAAAGTCATCATAAACTTATTATTATTCTTGCAAAACAAAGTACGAGGAGCACGAGTTTCTTTCCCCAATCAGGGATTTATGTTTTCGACACGTCTCTATCGTTAGCGAGCTTTTTATGCTCCTCCAATTTAGCATCATATGCAAAAACCCTATGTTCTAACCATTCAAGGATGTCAGAAAACACGATGTTTAGGTTTTCCGGCAACTCGCCATAGGACAAAGAGTGCCACATTTGAGGGTACAACTTAAGGGTTTTGTCGATGGTACAAGCCGACTCATACAAGAGCTTGCTCACAGACGGGTCTGTAACTTTATCTTCTTCTCCATGCAAAACGATAAACGGCAATGAAACCTGTCCGATCGACAATTTTATTTTATTTATTTATTTTTTTGTGCATGCGATTTTTAGTTAGTTATTTCATGACAAATAAGTTCACTGGATTTTAAAAACCGTACACTAACTCCAGGTGTGTATCATGAGAAGTTGTGTTGAAAATTGAAAAATCAATCAATCTATAATAGTTCTATATATTTTAATTTAGAATCCAACTATTCAGAGAACAATTTTGACTAGAAATTCCAATTTTGGCCGCAAACATAATGGGATGCATAATTAAAACGTGTCAATTTTTCAGTTAAAATTATCCATTTTGGTTGGAAATTTAAATTGTGACTACAAATTTTAATGAGACTAGTACAGAGCCCGTGCGATGCACGGGGTGCACAATTTTAAGGCTATTTATCCAGACTTATAATTATATATATGAATAAAGAAAAATGTACGGGATATATACGAGATATATTTATTTGGAGAATATTATATTATAAGATGCAATATTTAATAAAAGTTTATAATACGCAAGAAATTGTACAATGTTCAATAAAAGTTTTATAATATTCAAGTGGAATCTTAAAGTCTCTTGTACATTAAGACTACTGACAAAATAATATTTTAATCAATAAGTTTCCTTTCCTTGTAGTCAAATTGTGAATGTGATTTGAGGAGTACAACAAATCGATATATAGCTGACTTGCTTTCTTCATTGTAGTTTTTTTTCTTTTTTTTTCATAATGAACTTAAAAATATTCTAAAATATAGCAAAAATTAATTTTTTTTATTATAATTAGCAACTTTACTAAATATAAACTCTCAATCTATGGTGTTAATCAACGTTTAAGTCTAAAAATTAAGAATTTTTACCTCTTTTAATCAACGTTTAAGTCTAAAAAACAATAGAGTTACTATAAGTTTTTTTTCTACATCTTTTAAAAAATTAAATATGAGCATGTTAGGGCTAGGTTGTAAAATAATTAATATATTATATCACTAAAACATTTATACTAATAAAAAGTTAATTTTAGCATATAAATTTATCCCTTGATATAAGAGAAAGTAACAGTTTTACTTATTATTGTTCACCATATAATATTTATTATTATTTTATTATATAATAAAAAAAATATTGTTAAATAGTGTAGTTATAAAATTATATGAATTTTTTCTTTTTTAAAATATGGATTTAATATTTTTTTATGATTTGATAATATAAACAAATCTATACTTAACTTTGACAAATAAAACAAATAAATATTTTAGCAAGTATTTAATGTATATACTAAATAGGAATATATTTGGTATAATAAAATACCAAATATAATCAAATAAGTCAAAGTGTACATTTTTATTTGATATTTGATTTTTTTATTATTAAAATCTTTTTATTATACTTACCTTTTTAAAATAAAACAAATAAATAAATCAATTAAATAAATAAAATATTATAATACAAAAATAGTAATGACATTTAATGCAGTTGATTTTTCTGGATAGTAAATGTAGTAAATAGAATATCCTTTTATATAGTATAATACGGAAATAGTAATATAATAAATGCTGTTGACTTTTCTGGCTACTTAATTTGGTAAATAGTACTCCTTTTAATATAAGTATAGATGTGAGCTAATGATACGTGGATCAATTTCCAGCCTAAATCTGGATATCCTATCAAAATTGTTTTCGAGTTGATTATTTTTCTTTCATAATATGTCAATTTCCCGTCTAAATTGGGATACACTGTCAAAATTGTTTTCAAATTGATTATTTCCCTTTTTAAAAATAAGATGGGATTATTATTAATCAATTAAATATCAATAAGACTAAAATTCGATACGTAATGTAGTTACGAAACTACTTTTAAATTTTTTTGTGAATTCTGTCATGACAAAAAAATAAAAAAATAATAAAATAATATTAAAAAAAAATAATAATAATAATAATAATAATAATAATAATAATAATAATAATAATAATAATAATAATAATAATAATAATAAACCCACCTCATGCAATCTTTTTTCTAAATCCAAGCTTGCAAGATATAGTTGGTGGCTAGTTTGCAAGCGTGGTCGGCCTTTGTGTGTGTATGGATTGGACCTAACCTGCTATACAAATTTCATTTCATTTATCCATTAAAATAACGACATAAGAAGAGAGTGACACTTAAATTAGGAACCGGCTCAAATAAATTAAATAATTAACATCTTTATATATTTAAAGAATCAAATAAATTAAAAGATTATTAGGTGAGTTTAGGTGTTATTAAATTAAATTACCTCTTCTCTCACATGAGGGTCCCTGAAGGCATTGTCAACTATATCTGGAGTTGGTGTAATTTTCCATGTAGGGATTATTCGAGTCAAAAATGGCAATAATTTTATTGCCATTGGATGAGGTCTCATCTCCTCAGCAATCTGCATTATATATATAGTTAATATATTAATTGATCATTAGTTGATAAATTTATTTACCTCTGCATAATTTGATTTTTCATTTTCAGGTTATCTAATAAAAAAATATATAATCACAAAATTAAACCTAAAATGACGTATATTTGACATTTTTATTGTCTTTTTTTTTTTTGGTAACACTAAGTTAGTTGTGTCAACCATACTTTTTCAAATTTTTTTAGGCAGTTTAACGTTTTATGCGAGTTAACTCGTTATAGTACTTTTTGAACAAAAATGTCATATTTTAATTTATATATTATTTTCAAAGCGTGTGACGTATGTAAGAAAGTGTGTATATTTATTAAAAGAGTATATTTAATTAAAGGTTAGCCTAATTGTCTAACAACAGTCCTATGTTTTAACAAATATCTATATTTTTTCATTTGAAATGTCATGCATTAATTAAAAAATATCATAAAAATATGATATTTTACAGTATAAAAGTATGCATTTTTTTTAAATAAAAAAAGATAACTCCAACCCGACCAACTGTCACATCGCATTAAATCAAATAAAAAGAATTTATATTTTATTAAATCAAAATATGATATTTGGGCACACCTTACACATGGGAGCCACGAGAATTGCCCCATCCCAATATTCAGGCTTTTTTCTATGTAAACGTAAGGCCATGGCACCTCCCATTGACTCTCCCATTATTATTCTCATCTTCTTCTTGTTCTCCCTCCTTTCTGCATATTTAAATAGAATAAAAATTAATAGGAAAAAATAAATAAATAAAAACAAAGTCATGAATCAAATGTCAAAAGACTAATTTTATTACCACAAATATTGGTGAAATGTTCGGAAAGATCGTCAACAAGATCATCGAAGCTCGAAACTAAACCTTGTAGCCCGGAAGATTTTCCATGGCCTTCGCAATCGATGCCATGAACTTCGTATCCTGCCTTAACCAGTCGAGTCGCGCAATCTGTTCGAATTAATATTGGATCAATTATTTTATAAATTATTATTGTTAATTTGTACATTAATCTAATGTTAAAAAACAATATGTTTGCAATTTTACAATAGCCTTATATTACACATGCCTATCTACCTAAATATATGTTATTAATGATGATGTAGAATCATGAAATTGTTGTGTTGCATGACATTTTAATATTTTATCTAAATACATATTATTATTATTATTATTCTTTCCTTTTTCATAATTACATATTTATTTATTGGCTTTATAAATTTGGAGATTACTTTTTTCTTTTTAGGTGCAAAATCAAAGGATTACCTCTCATGGAGATGCTACATTCCATGGCATATCCATGGCACAAGAAGATCAAAGCTCTCGGCTCGACTTTTTCAGGCAACCACCGACATGTGAAAAGTTTAACTCCGCGCGTATTTACTACATATTCCTGGAAATATATTGAGATCTTATAGTCATTTTTGCAACTTAAATTACAAATATTTATGAATATTTCCAAAAAAAATAAAAAAAAAATGCTTTACGTACCTCTTCATATTTGCCATCACCTGCATAATTCTCCTAGGGAAATTAAGAAAAAAATAAAATAAAAAATCTACATAAATAATGTATTTCGACTTGCAAATTGAACGAATTAACGAAAAACGTTCATATATATTTATATACACATTTATATATTTTTTTATACTTACCATAACAACTTATGGATATATTCTTGAAGGTAAAATTAGAAACTAATATTGAGAAAAGAGCAATCAACAAGGAGGTTATTTATGCGTGGCTATTCAGAGGAAAAAAGTTGGGGTATAAGCTGGGAATTGAGCTTTTCGGAATAGAAATCAGGTGAATATCATTTAAAATGGTGTGGAAAAATAAGAAGTTTATGTATGGCTATTTATAGGCATACAAATTCATGAAATGTTTTTATTGTGACGAGAAAATTGGCCCTAACGAACAATTAACTTCAACTCTTTTGATTTTGTCATGCTGTTACATCAAAATTAAACCAAACTATTAAATATATATATGTTGAATTGTTGACTCGGTTAATATTTAATTTAATTTTAAGAGTAATTTGTTTTCAAATTACATCATCATTTTAGATGACATATTATTAAAGAATACAAATTTTCTAGCTCAAATGAAAGGGAAAGAGGTTGACTTAATTGTAAAAAAATGATGTCATATATATATATGTGTGTGTATATATTTCTAGCTTAAATGAAAGGGAAATCTCAACTTGTGTGTGTGTGTAATATATTGAGTTATATATTTACAAAATCAGATTAATCAAGTTATTGCAATAATGTTAATCTGATTATGAAATTCATCTCATAAAAAGATCAAATTAATGCTTTGTGATTTGATTTTCTAATCATAATGAAGGATTGGAAAATTTGTAATAGAATGCTTTTCGTGTTAGCGAATAAAAGCTAATCTACTTTCTTACGTAGTATTTATTAAGTTACATAAGTGTCCATTATTACAACTGGACGGACCGGGCTATGATTGTAAACGTGAAAAAAATTCTAAAAACTATTTGTATTTGGGATTACTATTGAAATCAAATTGTGATTAATATGTTTACACATATATACACCCCATATATATAATATGAAATTCCATTAAAAAATTCATTAGAAAATATTATAACAGAAAATTTTTTGTAGATACTCCAATTTTATAAGTTTTATCAGAAAAATCCTAACAGACATTTACATTAAATTCTTCCGTTGGAATTAATTCAATTTAGAAATTTTAGTTGAAATTAGATATTCTAATAACCCAATTTTCAAGAATTTCTGATGAAATTTGCAATTTTCGATGAAATATTTTTACCACATATAGTTTCCGCCAATAAAACATTGTTGTTTGAATTGCCGTTTGAATTTCATAAGTTACAACTTTAGAATATTAGTTGGAATAACATTAAAATTTTAAAACTATGATTGAATATATTGCGGAATTTAACAATATGAATAATTTTAGTATTCTACACACTTATAATCCACCGCCTTTCACCTGCTATTCATTTACAAAGAATATTGTATAACTACCAAGATTGCAAACTATTTAAGCGGAGATATACTTCATTTTATTAAAATTTAACCCTTTCGATTGTCACACAAAGAACATCAATTTATTATATTTCTAAGTACAATATATTTGAATATATGTGAAAATCCATATCTTATTGAAAAAACTAGTTGACTAATTTGTGTGCTGATATCATATGTAAACTGGCCTTTGGTGGAACATCACATGCAAATAATTTATCCTTACATACATGCAAAACATGATCCTATATATTATTGATTTTTTTATAATTCATTGAATCAAGATATTTGTGATTTTTTTAGTGAAATAATTTCGCACATAATTTGACACGAGTGATGTAAAATTATAATAGTTGTTGCTTTTAAAATATTTTGATATGTAAGATAATAATTTTTTTTATATCAAAATGTATTTTTTTATTTTTTTTATTCTCATATATTATATTACTAACTGAAATCATTAAACAGAAGGACCTCGTCTTGGAATTGATCATGTTGGATTTTAGACGTACGAACCTAGCGCACGCGCAGCGGAAATTTAAAATTTTTTTACCAACAACGAAGATCCGGCTATAGCTATTCGAGATAATCCTAGATCGCTTGAATGATTAACAAAAACTTACAGTTGTTCGTCTATGTCTCTCGACTATGGTATCCACGCAATTCAGTTTTTCGGTGCACGATCTAACGCCAATGAATCCCTTCCGGTGAAGAAGCTAGGAATCCTCGATACGAAAAGCTAGATAGTGTTTTGTCTTTTGATGTTAATCTCTCAATCTCTAAGATTTTGGGATCTCTCAAAATTTTTCTCTCATTCATCCATCGATTAAAAACTATGAAGAGATAATGAGTTATTTATAATTAGATCAAACCTTATCATATGGGTCTTAGGAGACCTTATAACCCAATAGATAATTAGAACTAAATCAATTAGTAATTTACTTAAGTATAAATTCAATTTAACTTAATTAAATATTTTCCGTTAGATAGAAAATAATCTCATTACTCATAAATAAATATTCCAATCTAATTAAATATATTCACTCTTAATCTGAAAACTGATTGCATATTGTGTGACTCTATAGGCCTTTATATATTGACATAATCTAATTTATGATTCTTATGAAAATTTTCTAGACTACGTCGAAGGACGAACTCAAACTATGAAGTATGTTTACATGAACAAAGCAAATATACCTTTAGTATAGAACTCAATGATGATACGGTCCCTTCATTCACGAACCACTCGATTAAGCTTAGGACTTGAACATGTATCTATCCAAACAGGTTAATCATTTTATCTCATCTTACTGGTTGATTTAAATTAATTATATTTGAACACCATTTCAAATATAATCACGTTTATTGCCCAATGACTTTATCAACCCAGTATAAAGAAAATGTGTGTTCTCTCGAAACTATATTCGAGGAATGCCCTATCTTGGCTCAACTACCAATTTCATGTATATTGTGATCAACCCAACACAAGCTCGTATCTACCCCATAAGGAGCGTAAGCTTTAAACTAGGTCTAAGTAAATCACTCTATACATGAATTGTGTATTGACCTCCAGTCAAAGGACTATTATACCATTCCACACATCGATATTCCCACAGACATATAAACAAATGGTTTATCGGTAGGGTAAACTAATACTCTTCAAAGTATCCATGTGTCCATCACGAATAACAATTATTTATAGTAGTGAGACATACTATATTTTTCAAGAATATGATGCAGACCACATGTCAATCTATCGTGTATCATATTCCCTTTTTTCATGATCATTGATTGAGGCAATTTGAGGGTTATACTTTATCAATTAACATCTCACTCTGTTAATGACAGTATTAATACAAGGGAGCAATTAATTAATAAATTACAAACAATCAAACAATTATTTAAATAATTGCAATACCATAATTATAATTTAATATAATATTAATGTGGTCATGTATATATGTCCTCGAAAAATTGTCTCTAGGACACATATACCAACAGATCATTCTACCAAGCAACAAAGAATAAGGGAAAAGTAAAAAAGAAAAAAAAAAAAAAAAAAGAAAAAAAAAAAAACCACACATAACACTAATACGTGTACTTTCCCTTCTTTTAGCAGTCTCGCCGAAACTCTCAAATATGAAACTCCAGATCCAAAACTCGAACGAAATCAGGCGAGGAGGTAAGATTCAAACACAAATCTATCTGGCTCCAAAAGTCGTAGTTCAAAGAGAGAAGACAGATGGGTCAAAAGACTCAAAACACAAATTATTGAGTGAGATGATTTAATCGTTAGGTGGATCGACCCGTCTTACTCTAAAGTAAGAATAGATATTAATACTATCAAATATAATACTTTGTTATATTTTTATTTATGATGTTTTGTTTAAATACGATATTTTTTAATGAATGTATATACTTTGTGAAAAATATATCAGCTTAAAGGAAGCCCGGCGCAGAACAGAACACACGGCAGTCAAAATCAGACTCCTTTCTAACTTGACTATTAAGCGTAGTGAACATATTGGGCCAGTACTTCACAATTGTGTTATAAATCCAGTCCAACTGCTGATGGTCTACCCATATTCTTGGTGGATTCTAAAAATCAGCCTGCTATGAGGCAAGGTAGTGGCATCTATTTGAAAGGCCCACTAAAATAATGTACAAAATTTTGATAATTGTATACGTTTACTGTAATTTTTTTAATTTTAAAAACATAAAGCACCCATAAACCATTTATAAAGTAGTCTATATTAAAAAATAATGCAATTTAAGATGATTAAAAAATAAACCACAAATAAATCATCATAAAAAACAAATTTGTTAATTTGTTATTCACTTAAATTTAATTTATAAGGTATTGTGATTTATTTCTCCTTAATTATCAATTGTATGCATTATAAATGTATAGCCATATCCAAAAACAACACATTATCCTATTTCAAATAGAACAAATCAATATATAAAAAATACGAACACAAGAGCACAAATTATCATTTTTCATCATATATTTTATCGCATCATTTCTGTCCATATACATAGACACAAATTAATATGCCTACCAATTAATATGTTAAAAAATAACATACTTGCGATAATTTAAAATACATAATTTAAAAAAATCTTAATAAGACAAAATAGTTTCTCATAAAAAAATATATAACATTTGTTCAAAAAATAGCATAACGTGGGACCCACCTCAACCCGGTTTTGATCTCTCACCTCTCTCAGAGCACCCACAATGCTTTGAGTCTCTTTTTGCATATATGACAAATAAATAGATTTAAGTCTATAATGACATGGACAAATTCAAGCAAAAAAAATCTAAAATCTATCAAATGCAAAAAGAAAAATACTAGGTCTAGAATATCTAACAACTAATAAAAATATAATAATAGTAAATGATTGCTATTGTAAGGTTCACACTTGGATTCAAAATAGACCCAAGGGTGGACTTGGTCTCTTTTTTTTTATTGCTACATAAGCTAGACTAAGTCCACTTTTAGTTGTATTGTGAAACACTTTTTTATAAACTATGTCTATTTCCTACATGGCATGTGATTTTTTTTTAGAGAGACCAAAAGCGGCTAATTCGATGCTGCAAGTAATTGCACTGCATTTACCTGCTCAAAGCTTGACACGTGTCTCTTTCTTTTTTAATTATTTTATTTTTCTTCATCCATTAAATACTGATATTTGTGAACCAGGGTTAAGAAAAAAACGCCATCTTCCCAAACGTTTCAATGGCGCCACTTTAAATTTTTTTCTATATCTATATTTCCATAAGATTAAAATAGTTTTAATGAAATAAATAAATAAAAAAAATCTTGAGAATCAAAGGCTCTATAAAATCGAGTCTTCGACCAAGAAAACATCGGCTTTCGATCTCGGCTTTCGACCCGCGGCAATCTCCAGGTTAGCATACACAGATTCTATGGCGTAGATTTAAAGATTAAATAGGTTGATTAATTGATGAAAGATGCCCATCAGTATTCATTCAACAGAAAAAAAAAAAAAAAAAAACAGAAAAAAAAAAAAAAAATGATATGTTGAATTGAGAAATCTGATGCGCCATAGAATTGTGGCATGCTTCATAAAGCCACATCTGTCAGAAATCAAAGGCATGCCACATACGGGTATGTGAATAGAATTCAGATTGGAGCCATAGAATTTCTGAAAGGCATGCCACATATTGGTATGAGTTCGGCTTCGGGTCGAACAGATTGACGCAGACCGAGCCTGAAATTCTCCATCTTCTTCGCGATAAAACTAATTCTCCCTCTTCTGCAAAGCACTAGAATTTCTGATTTGCGGATTGAATTGTCGTAGCCTAAAGAAATTTTTTACAGATGGGTTAAGGGCATCTTTAATAAATAAAATTGTCATGTTAGAATTAATAAATAAAATTGATAAAGCCATATCAGATTGTGGCATGCCTTATGGTGCCAGTATGGACGCCATAGAATTTCTGGATTAGGCTAAGAATGTTTTTTTACTCCGTTTTCTTCAAGTTGGTTATCCTAGATTAGATTTCTTCTAATCTATTGTAATTGGCTATTAGGTTAGTATTTGTGTTTTGCTATTAAAAATTGGTAATTAACTATTTGTGTTTTTACTAATTCTTTTTGTTTGTCATCAAATGTGATATGTTTAAACTATTATTTGTGTTTTACTATATTATTTTGTATATCATTGAGTGATATATTTTTGTAAACTAGTTTCTATAATAATATATATGATAATATAAATTTAAGTGAGATTGAAATTGAAGAAAAATAAAATATTTGCATATATTCTCCACTTTGCAAACATACTCTGCATACAATAACAGATACTCCCTCCTATTCATAATAAGTGTCGTTTTGGGAAGTTGCACATTAATTAAGAATATTTTTTTTGCCACTATTAACCCTCATTAATGAAGATAGAGATAGATGTTTTAAAAAAAAAGATGAAGAGAATATGAAAAGACGTAGTGTATTTATTAACTAAATGAGGGTAAAAATGGAAAAATATGTACAAAAGATCCAAAACGACATTTATTTTGGTTAATAGTTGATAAAGCCAAAATGACATTTAAAAAGAATAGGAGGTAGTAGTAAATAATGTAAATATCATATGAACTATATACTTTGAATAGAACAACAACAACACACAATACAACAATTCAAATCACAATACTCTAAACTTCAAACAAAAACAGTAGTGAAGTACAATAAAATGAAAGGAGAAACTTGTTATGCTAATAAATAGTCAATTGCAATAAAGTGAAGAAGAAGTTTGCCATGCTCCTTTTTAGTCAAGTGCATAGCCCAAATAACAAAGTAGTCCAAGTGCAATAACCAAAACTACATAGACCCAAATAACAAAATAGTAGTCCAAGTGCAATAACCCAAACTACAAACAACCCAAATAACAAAATAGTAGTTCAAGTGCAATAACCCAAACTACATAATAAACTATTACAATTAGTCCAAGTGCAATAACCCAAACTACAAAACAAAATATTACAATTAGTCCAAATGCAACAACAAATCACACAATAAATGCTATAAATAGTCCAAAACAAATGGCAAAAATTCTAGCAGCAACACATGCGTGGAACTCCAAAATTTATCCTTGATTGTTGTTGCTATGAGAACCCTATTAAGAGAAAATAAAGAGTCAGTGAGAGAGAGAATGTCACTTCTTGTATATATATATTTTTTTACTCAATGCAATTAAAATATCATCAAATTAAAATAATATTGAACATGTGATGAATTTGAAAATGGATATCCAAATAAATTCAAATGACCACCCAAATTAATATTTCCAATGCCTCCATGTGGAATAAATATAGAATATAAAACGTAATAAGATGAGATTTTCATGCATGTTAAAACTAAGCAGTCCCCCTCCTCTTCCCTTTAAGAAAATGCATATATTACCCCTTGAGTTTGATATTGCCAAGGTGCTTGTCCCGATCCAATTTGAGATGAAACTTGTGCGGTTTGGAATGTAAGCATGTTTGGAAGATTCGGTAGCGACACATTAGGAGTTTGAAAAGACGGTGAGATTTGTGGTGGCGATATATTATGAGCTTGAGTTCGGCGGAAACTATCCAATGTATGTGATTTTTGAGACTCTTGTGAACTTGACACCTTTCTCTTAGACCCTTTTCCAAATCAAAACACATAAATTCAACAAAGTTAAAAAAAAAATTGACTTGAAAAGCAATATAATGTCATTCAACTAAACAAGAAAAATTACTTGAAGTATCACCGTAGGCTTTTGATCTTCTTTTTCCCTTTTTGGTCTTTTCATCGCAATGACGAGTAAAACATGCGTTCGCTAATCCTCTTGACTTGGCCGTACGTGGATTACATATCCGTACACCATCTATGGTACCATCATTTGCAGTATCGTCATGCATACTCGAGTCCTCAAGATTTAAATTTTGAACCAAATCCATAATTTGGTGTTTTGCCACATCTAGCGTTGTGGTCAATATGCTCTGGGCCTCCAAATAAGATTTGCTCATGTGAGCAAGATTGTATGCTGTTCTCATGGCTTGGTTCACAAAAATGAGCCTGGAATCTTCACCACTTCCACAAGCACCATCACTTGCCTTGAAATCATTATGAATTCTCAACCTCGCACTTTTCATCCACCTTTTCAAAAGGTAAGGCTCCAGTATCGTAGTCACATCCAAGTAGTTGAATACCATTAAAACATGCTTGCATAAAATTCCCATGGTCTCAAACTTGTGACAACTACACCTTGCTTCATTAGTTTGAGAATTCATGAACACATGCCTTACCCTCGAGTTATCACCGTGAGATTTTACTTTATACCCTAGTGATCCACAATCATTGTCACTCTTTAATGGATGATCATCGAATTTGCAATTTAAAGAATTCACAAATTCAATCTCAAACAATCCATAAATGGTAAGGGTATACACACTAGCAGCATGCTTAAGCAATGGATGGTTCTTAAGAATTTGAGCAGGTTTGCCATGACAACAACGAGTATCTTCAGCCTTCTCTTTAGACCGCCATTGATTTAAAATTTTCTCATAGTCCATGACAAATTCAAATAAAGAACTAGTCTTGTTGCCCGTCTGTTTCAAAACCATATTTGCATTCTCGCTTCTTGATGTAGCCAACATCCCGGCACTAAACAACTCATTACTAAAAGCTGTAGCCCATTTTCTTCTAAGCTTATACATGCCAATCAATCATTTATGATCATGCAATTGAAATGAATCAAGCATAAATTTCCACGTGCTCTCGAACTCCTCTTCGGATTCACAATGAGACATACACTTATACCATAAGGCCTTGAAGGATGCATTACCATTTAAACTACCCAAGTGAGAAGGAGCATTTTGATTTATATGCCGTTGACACAAACGGTGATACAAAATTGGAAAAAACATTTTCAATTGCATTCATCATGGCTTGGCATTGATCGGAAAAAATTACTTGAGGTTGTTTACCATTCATAGAATCAAGAAATGTTGTTAACAACCATTCAAATGAACTTTGAGTTTCATCCGACACAAAAGTCAACCCAAACAACACATTCTTCATATGGTGATTTATGCCGATAAATGGAGCATATATCAAATTGTACCTATTTGTTCTATAGGTAGTATCAATTGTAAGAACATCACCAAAATACTCGTAGTCCGCCGCACACTTATAATATCTAAAGAAAAAATTCATCACCCTATCCTCATCATCCAACTGCACATTCCAATAAAAGAAACATTCTTTATTTGCCTTATGTATAAAGTGTTGAAGCAATGCAGTGGCATCCCCATTTTCAACCTTTGTATGTTTCTTCAATTTCTCAATATGGTCATATGCATCCTTTCGAGTAAAACCTAAGTTTTCAGACCCTTGTGCTTCATTCTCCATATAAGAAATAGCATTGGCCACAGAAATTCCAGTCTTCACCATGGCCTCTAAAGTAGATTGTTTTGCATGAGAAATATTACGGGCTGATCTTAACAAGTGAGTTTGGTCCGGCGCAAACATTTCATGGTTATGTTCAATAATAAATCTGCTAACTCGCCAATCTCCCCCTATTGGCCTCTTAATCTTAAGTTGTGCTTTACAAGAAGTTCTAGTTATCGGCTCTTGATAAATTGAATTTTTTTACTAGAACGTTTTTCATCTTTTTCACCGGCACAAGAACAACCAAAGATCTTCAACTGAATTTCACTACTATGGGGAAAACAACGTTGATCTCCTTTTCTAAGCATCTTCAATGCCATTCACCATTGTAGCCACAACTAACTTACTCTCTAGAATATCAACCATATCATTTGAAGAATCTACCTCACCCTGTTCCAACATCTCAGGTGGCTCCAATTCGGGATGCTCCAAATCAACGCCAATAATATCAGCTGCTTCAATATTGGCACCATTCAAATCCTCATTTAAAAAAGATGAATTAATGTCCATGTTCCTACAATTTTTGCATAGAAAAATTAAAAATAAAAAGAGTAAAAACGGCATGTTCCATTTTTTTTTCTTGGAGAATATAAAAAAACTGATTAATTAGAAAGTACCTATTTCAATTAAGTTGAGGAGATAAATTGGAATGTTGCCAATTTAGTTTTGTTTCTTCAGTTCTGGAAGACAACACAACTGTGGGTGCACTGGGTGGGAATGGGTGGTACTGGGTTGGTGACCGGGTCTCCGGCCGAGGTGGTTTCGAGGTGAGGGGCGCCGGTGGAGTCGGAGCGCCGGGGTGGTGACGGGTCGACCGAGGGGGTATCGAGCGATGACGGGGTGACGGGCCGCCGGGGTGGTGACGGGCCGGGCGGCGTCGAGGTGGTGTCGGGCGCCGAGGTGGTGAAGAGCCGTCGTGGTGGTGTTGGGCTGGGCGATGATGATGGGTTTTCTGAAGGTGAGAATGAGTTTAGGAATTAGGATTATTTTACTGGTTTAATTTTAATCAAAAGAGGTGAATTGTGTGGGTTTGTGATTTATGTTTTAACCATAGTTTAACTCTGGTTCAGATATATTTTTATTTTAATGAATGAAAAAAATAGAATAATTAGAAAAAGGAATGGACACGTGTCGAGCTTTGAGCAAGTGAGTGCAGCAGTGCTACTACCGTGTGCCCTGACACACCTAGCAAGGTGTGCCAAGGCAATTTAAAATGAACATGTTATGTTACAAAATGAACATGTGCAAACATAATTTACACATGTTCATTTTGTAACATAACATGTTCATTTGTGACACACCTTGTTACGTGTGCCAGGGCACACCTAAATATTTGCGTGAGTGCTGTGCCATTACTTACCACCCAAATCATCGTGGGTGCTCTCAACAGTCAACACTACTGTGAGCTCTGAAAAAAGTTCACACCGCTTTCATATCTGTAATGTCACCATCTTCAATCTTCATCTCTGCCTAAAAACAAAAGGACAAAAGCAAAAGGGCCCGCAAAATAGCTTCAACCATCACACCAAGAACCCGGAAAATGTCACTTCCGACCAGCGAAGCCGAGCCCATGACCCGGCCGGCCGGCGCCACCGAGCACAGCTGGTGCCGGGCCGTCCCCGGCGGCACCGGCATCACCGCCGTCGCCCTCCTCCTCTCCAAACCCCCCAACTCCCAAATTTACCAAAACGCCCTCCGCAAGCTCCAGATTTCCCACCCAATCCTCAACTCCAAGCTCCACTTCGATCCGCCCTCCAGCTCCTTCTCCTACCGCGCGCCGCCGTCGCCACACCTCGAAATCCTTCAATTCGATCCGCAATCGACGGCGGAGATCCTCCGCTCCGGCTTCACCGAGGAGGAGCGCGGCTCAATCCCCCCGCTGCACCTCATTCTCGAGCACGAGCTCAACACCAACCCGTGGCAAAACCAAAATCAAAACCAGAATCCCGACCCTAAATCCGACGTCGATGTTTTCTTCGCCAGCCTGTACGATTTGGGGGAGGAGGGGAAGTGGGTTTTGGCTCTCAGGCTCCACACGTCGGTGTGCGACCGGACTTCAGCGGCGGCACTGCTAGAGGACCTGCTGGGAACGATGGTGGGAGGGGCAGAATTGGAAATGGAGAAAGTGCCGGAGCTTGGTTTGGCGATTGAGGATTGTATCCCGAGCGGGCTGGGGAACAAGCCCTTTTGGGCCCGAGGGGTGGATATGTTGGGCTATTCGTTGAACTCATTCAGGCTGGCGAACTTGGAGTTTAAGGATACTGTCTCGCCGAGGATGTCCCGTGTCGCTAGGCTGCAGATGGATGAAGGAGAAACTGGCCGTGTTCTATCTGTGAGTGAATTTATATAATTGGTGTTTTCTTTTTTAGAAAATCTTGAAGTGAAAACTTGTGAAGATGATGATTTTTCTTGTACCATTGTGGTTCTGGATTGGTGGTTGACTAAAAAAGAGTAGTAGTGATCATCATGGGAACTTTGGAGTTTCCAGTCTTTGTTCTAATATTAGTGTTGAATGCTTGTGAGGACTCTGTTTGGAAAATGGTTTGATTTTTGGGGGAGAAATATCGCAATCTTTGCTCCATAAGCTCAAAATTGTTAAATGAAATGTATTTGCATTAAATTTTTGTGACCTGCAGTTATTCACTCAAGTCATTTGTTCTTTACTATCCTTGCATTTTATGTGAAATGATTTAGATATTTTCCAGTCTTGAGCTTGTAAATACTTCTAAGAATGGCATATTGTTCTGAAAAAAAGAAAAAAGAAACATAAATATCGGTATTCTTACTTGGCAGAGTTGTGAGAGTAAAGGGATAAAACTATGTGCTCTATTAGCGGCAGCAGGATTAATCGTGTCACGTTCTTCGAAAGGGATTCCCGAAGATCAATGGGAAAAGTATGCAGTCGTGACACTCATGGACTGCCGATCGATACTTGATCCTGTGCTTAGTAGCCATCATATTGGTAAGTCCTGTTGGAGTTCATGTCAAATCGAGGATATGAATTCTTCAATGCAATTTGATAAAAAATAAGTGGGATGCATGTACTTTAGGTGTACTCTATTAAACCCTACGGCTTTTGTCGTGACTAAATCATAGAAACCTGCCGTCGAGGTTTAGCTTTAGCTATAGAAATGCATATTTTCTCGCTTGCATATTGCAACTTTTAAAGATGTTAGACAATAACTCTTAAGGGGTATAGTTATGTAAGTTGTAACACTCTATGTTTGGTAAACCTAACTTATCTTATAAGTTAATTTCGAGCTTATAACAGATAAAGCTAGCTATAAAAGTATGCAAAAAATTAGCTGACCAGCCATTTGAACTAGCTAATTTGAAAAGGTACCCAAGGAAGCTTATGAGATAAGTTTGAGCTGATAAGCTAGCTTATAGCTTTTAAATAGATTTCGAGCTTATAGCTGATAGTCTATGACTTATAGCTGAAAAGCTAGCTTATATGATGAAAGTGTTTGGTAAAATTAGCTTATGAAATAAAAGTTTCAATTTACTTATCTGAAAAGCTACCCAAGAAAGCTTATGAGATATACGTCCTACCAAACCTAACTTATTTGAATACAGGAAACTTATAAGCTAATCAAATAAGTTATAAGCTAGCTTATATGCTTACCAAACACAACCATAAACTAGTGCTTACCAAACACACTCGTACAATTTCTTCATTCATTTTTCTCTTTTGCCTTTGTTTTATTTCAAAATTCTTATAGGCTTTTACCACTCTGCAATCCTCAACACCCATGACGTCAAGGGGGAAGACAAATTGTGGGACCTCGCGAAACGAGTCCACTCATCCTTCACAAGCGCCAAGGACAAGAATAAGCACTTTTCAGACATGGCGGACCTCAACTTCTTGATGTGCAAGGCAATCGAGAATCCCGGTTTGACACCTTCGGCATCTCTCAGGACTTCACTGATATCCGTTTTCGAGGACCCTATGATCGACAATCACTCGGAAAAGCTTCGTGATGCCATCGGGCTTGAGGATTTTATTGGGTGTGCCTCGACCCATGGTGTGGGCCCGTCCATCGCAATATTCGACACGATAAGGAACGGGAGTTTGGACTGTGCGTGCGTGTATCCGTACCCGCTGCATTCGAGGGAGCAGATGAGTGAGGTCATTGGTGAGATGAAAATGATTATTTTGGATGGAATAAATTGATTTGGTATTTTTTTTTCTTTTTCGGGGGAATTTGTTGTGATTTTAGGTCTCAATATGGGCTGTTCTTGATCTGTATTGATGTATTCTTCCCTACTATGTCTATGATTTTTATGTGATAAAATTGGTACAAGGCCATTAGGTGTTGTGTTTTGTTGTTTGGTTGGTTTATTCAAAAATTTTTATATGTAGACTGTTAGTGAGATTAATATATTTTGATAATTTGTAACATATTTATTAGTCATTTTTGCACATTAGATAGTTTTTCAGCTATGGATTATTTACTAAAAAATAATATATAAACCGCTAAACTATCAGGTAGATGGTAGTTGAGTAATAGCTATCAAATCAAGGTCTATGTATGCTATGTGACAATACAATGAGATAAGTATATTTTTTCATTTTCATTTCCAAACAACGGAAACAAGTATATTTCCGATGTGAATGTCTCTCTATGATTGGTACAAAAAAAGTGTGTGGTGTCCATATGAATAGCAGGATTCGTCTTGGGATTGAAATTTTGAAAGTACAATGGCCCCGTAATCGGCCCAAAATATGTAAGGTCTGGCCCATTTAATGGGACGTTAAAAAGGCTTAAAATAATTCGAACTTGCGGGACTCTAGTCTTTTACCTCATTCATCGTCCCCAATCAAATTTCTAGGGTTTTGAAGAGCGATAAACCCATCGTCAAATTCCTCTAGGGTTTCAGCATGAGCAGATCAGGGCAGCCTCCGGATCTCAAAAAGTTTGTATTTTTGTACTATTATTTTATTTTCTTTATTTTTGTTTGAAAAAATGGCATTTGTTCTTAATTTCACGCTTTTTATTCCTTTTTCCCTCCTTCTGCTCGTTAATGGCAGGTACATGGACAAGAAGCTACAGAGTGAGTTCTCAGTTGTTTCTTCGTGTTCTTTCATGTTTTCTGAACATAAAATTGTTGTTATGTGTCGAGAGTTTCATGGTTCTGTGAGTTGGTCGAAGAACATCTTTTAGTCAGTTACAGTTACTTGTTCATTTTTACATCGCACAATATGTCTATCCTTGCATGATGTTAAAGTGATTTTTAATTTACTGATTTATACTGCTAAAACAAATGCCCACACTCCATGTGTTAGTGTGTTGATTTTGTGTGAGTGTGTGATTCAATGATAGAACATCTTTCAGTCAGTTGTTGATTTTTTTACATCGCACAGTATGTCTAATCTTGAATTGATGTTACACAGTGTTACAGTGATTTTTAAATTACTCATTTAATTCACAAATTCTTGTGTGAGACTGCCTGACCGTAGACGGGTCGACCCGTTTTATTATGTAAACAAAAAATGCATACTTATATAATGAAATGTCATATTTTTGGTTTTTTTTTTTTCAATATATGGCATTTTCTAACAAAAGTGTAAATATTTTGTGAAAAAAGTTTATCGGCCTTATGGTTAGTTCAGCCTAACAGACTGTTATTCTTGTGTGACCCATGTTTTCTAGTGCAGCTGGTTTCTAATATTTGTATAATTCCTGTCTAAGCTAATTACCCATGTGGATATAATGCTTCTTGAAATACTTCCCGTGGATTATGTTTTCGAAAATGATCTGTTTGTGGCACAAACAGCCATGTTTTTTAATCTAACTTACTTTGAAAACTCCTGATCAAACTTACTTTGAAAACTCATGATTATGTTTTTGTTAGTGAATTTAATTGGCACAAGCGGCCACGCTTTGCTCTAAAGTAGAATGGAAACTCATGATCAAACCTTTTTTGAAACCTGTACTTCTTGCGAGGATTATACTTTTGTTAGTAATTTGTTTGGCACAGAATGGCCACATTTTTCTCTTAAGTCGTTTTGAAAACTCATGACCAAAACTACTTTGAAAACTCATTTTTATGTACTCTTTTGATCGCTATTTGTGCTACCCTCTTGTCAACACTTTATTAAAAAAAAAAATTGAACTTGTGATAATATTTCAGTAAAGCTCAATGCCAACCGTTTGGTAATTGGGACCCTCCGTGGATTTGATCAGTTCATGAACCTGGTGATTGACAACACTGTGGAAGTCAATGGGAATGAGAAAACCGACATAGGCATGGTGGTCAGTATCTAAATTTTTTATTGATAAATTCATATATTTGATTCAGCAAATGACCATTGAGTTGAATTTTTTTGGGTCCTATTTTAATTTTTTGCAGGTCATCAGGGGTAACAGTGTGGTCACTGTTGAAGCACTCGAGCCAGTTGCTAGAGCTCAATGATTTGTGTATGTTTTTCTCGTGTACTGAGTTTTCGAGACTCGTTTTGAAGTTGGCTGATTGTGTTGAGACTTATGTTTGTAGTTTGTAACTTTTTTTTCTTTTTTTTTTTTTCGAACTATAGTGACCCTTTCTTGGTTTCTGAGAAGTGCCTTCTGACTTCTGAGGTTTCTATATTGTTCTTAAACTTCTTATTGATATTGTTCTCATTGAGTTTGAGAAGTTTACCTCACAAACGTGATTTTTCTTCAACACCAAATTTGGAGCAACTAATAATAATAATAATAATCTATCTAGGTTTTTTTTGTCCTATTTGATTTTAGTTGAATCATTTTTTTTATTTTTTTTTTGTGAATAAAAACGATATAAGATATGTTCTGAAATGGATCTTTAGTATGGATGTTAACCGAAAAAATTGTTAGCCTACAATGCTAACATTTAAACCTAACCTTATAAAATTTTACTTTTTAACTCTGTTATTATTATAATAATTATTATAAGTTGGGTAATTGGGTTATATAGTAAATAAATTACTTACTTGAAATGTAATCATAGATTTGTAATGCCGCTAAATTGAGTTCAAATTTCGAATAGTGTCTCTTTCATAATTCACAACTGACATAATATTGTATATGCTTTGGAGCGTTGGTTTAAGATTGCTCTTTACAAATTGATTATATCTAAGTCTCTATATTTAATAAAAAGCAGTTCAAACACTGTTCATTTCTTTAATTTTCTATTGAGATCCATTGGTCCCATATTGACATCTGTAAAATTTTGTTGTAAATTGCCGAGTTTGCCCTTGATTTTGCAGTTTTTCTTATTTCTTTTTATTCAACATACTAAAATGTTCCTGGTTTTTTGTCTTTTTATTTGGTTGGTTTTTGGGAACTCTGTATTGGCACCAAAACCTACACATAATTATTCTCAAATTGCTCTTGCCCCCAAAATCTTCCCACCGTCACCTCAGCACTCCCTGTCAAATTTCTCCACCTTTCTTCAGATTCTTCTTGCTTCATTTGTTATTATTAACAACGAAGGTCTTTTCTTCAACCATTACTGCAAAAGTCGAGATTTGTGAATGCCAAGATACAAAAGCAAATGGGATTTAAATGCGGCACCGTAGTCAAATTCATATCCGGCCAAGCCTCCTGAGAAACAGCTCATCCTCGACCTCAAAAGCAACCTTAGCTACGACGCCTCCCTCTCAACCAAGCTACTGTAGTGGACTTAATCAACCAACCACTGTCAATGGCTCGGCGTAAAATATGACTCTCGAAATTGCTTTTCCGACCTTGATCTTAGCCCCGAAGAAATTTCTGGGGGGATTAACCGAGCTCGCGCACCTCGAAACCCTAAATTTGGCACAAAACAACTTTTATCGATGGAGCTGCAGTCGGCATTCGGGATGCTCGCGAATTTGAGGCACCTGAATCTGAGCAACTCGGATTTCGCGGGCCGGGCCCGCCGGATTTATAACGAGGTTAGTCGTTCTGTATTTTGAGGGCCGTAGTCATCTTCCTTGCAGTCTGAGCTTGGCCAATTCTTATCTCACGGGCCCTTTCGATTCGTCTTTGCTAAGCTTTCATTGACTTTTTTTTTTTTTTTTTGCAGAATTAGATCTTAAGTTTTTCGGGTACACACATAAAGATTGGTATCCACCATAACTTTTTGGTTAAATTAATAAATATTTTAAAATTGAACAAGTTGAATTGAAATCTAGAAGATTGGTACTCTCAAGTCTCAAGTCATTGGCTAAATATTTCTAAATTTGTAGGTGTGCATTTAGTTTGCTCTATCAATATCCCAATGAATGATCTATAGACTATTATTATGGACATTTTAATGGTAGCTAAAATTTGTGCATGAGGTTTCATGAAAGAAAATAAATAGCTTGATATTTCTGAGATTTATATTTAAATCAGTTTTATAGAATATGTGAGGGGAAGATTTTAAGTTTGAGAGAATCTACAAGAAAATAAGCCTTGTATTGATAATTTGAGATGATGCGTCACTCATTATTTTTTCTATGAGATTTCTTCAATTCATGTTCTTCTTTTTTTTTCTCCTTTGATCTTTATTTAACAAGTTGTGACCTTCGAAACTGCTCATACAGATGAAGTCTAAAGGATTGACCATGATGGTTTTACTAGCCCAAGAAACCGCCCTTGTTTTGGCCGAACATCCAGTTGTGAACTTTATAGCTAGAGAGAGTAAAATCTTTACGTATAACAGCCATATCAACATACTGCAGTTGTTGTAGCCATTGATGGTGGGTTAATTACACCCGTCCTTCAAGATGCTGAAAAGGTTAACCCTTCATCAAGTTTTTCAGTTCTATTTTAGTGATTCTTTTTATTCTTTTAGCCTTGATATGTTAGATTGTAACAACACTAACTTGTTTTTCTCATTTTTCTCTTAGATTGACATATAATCGTCATCGAGATATTGGAGGAATTGGTTGATAAGGCACGATCAAAGCAGCTCCAACCTAATGAGAGTCCAATACATGTAACTCGGTTGTGTGTTGGCTCGAACCTGCTTGGATGATTCAATTTACTTCTATAGTTACTGCAAATCACCATCTTCCATATATTCCTTTTGTTACATTAATTCCTGAGCATGCTTATTTCATTGTTTTCTAGGCACTTTTACTGTGTCTAACCTTGGACCTTGGAATGTTTGGGGTGGACCGTTTTCATGCCATCTTGCCACCAGGAACTGTAAGTATATTATCTTAAGTATATTTCATTTTATCATTAAAAATGTGTTGCCGTAAAAAGAGAATTTATTAGTAATTGAGGAAATTTACAAATGTTTTAAATGGAATCCAACTAGGCAAGTCGACAGTTGGTTTTGAAAGAATCTCTTGCTTTCATATGCTTTCCAGATTAATTGCCATGTGAAATTTCATTTGGCCAGGATATATTGCAAATTTTAGGAATATTTGCAGATCCTAAATGTATGCATCTTACTAATTTACTTTTAAAGAATATTTATATCAGTTTTGCTAGCCAACCTTCTATATACAACAAGTAATCCATACCATATTAATAATACTATTCGAATTTATTTAAGTAATCAGAGAATATAGTATGGTTTACTTGTTGTATATAGAAGGTTTACTTCAACTGTTGGCTTTATAGCAAAATTGATATTCATATTGTCATGCATACATTTATCTCTCTCTCCGTAATATTTCATGATACCTTTTTATATAATAACATGAGGTAAGATCGTCAATTCATTTTGTTTTTAATCTTGAAATGCTACTTTCTAATCTCAAAATTTATCTTTTCAATTTAATTTAACAGAAAACACATACACAACACTTACAATGTTTTCTATTTTATGATAAACATTATGTTTTTGCTTCATTGGCTTCTTTTTCCATCACCGCGCCTACTGTGAGTTCTAAGATAATTCAGACATATTTTGAATTATGAAACAAAGATGAATCTGTAGTGTTTCTTAGTAAAAAATTTTGATTAAGCAAAACACATCGTAGTCTTGGTCAATTTTGGAGATTGTTGTATATTCCTTTCATTTTTATTTTTTATAACGATTTCTTGTAGACATTCGAAAAAATTGTTTTATCTGCTTAAATTCATAAGTTGAAATTAATTTGATCATTCTTATTATTTCTTATGAGCAGGAAATGATGCTAGCAGTGCCAAAAATTAGGGTAGATTTGTGTGCAGGTGGAAGATTACAAGTCCTTTTTTTAACAATGTACAGAAAATTTTTGAAATATCATGAATACTATGAAAAATCATATGAGCTACGGATTTTGTTGTTCTATTAGTACATTAGTATTTGTTATTTTTTATTTTTTATAAAACAATTAGCATGGGCCGGCCGTGCAAAAGATTTGTGTACAGGTGGAAGATTACATGTCCTTTTTTTAACAATGTACAGAAAATTTTCGAAATATCATGAATACTATGAAAAATCATATGAGCTAGGGATTTTGTTGTTCTATTAGCACCTTAGTATTCGTTATTTTTCATTTTTTATAAAACAATTAGCATGGGCCGGCACTGCTTTGCGCGGCCGATAGCCTCCTAGACTAAAGAGTAATAAAATCTCAAGGGCCTTTTTAATACTTTTATTATGAAGTAGCTATCAATTTTTTTTTTTTTTATTAATTTCAATTAGGTAAAAAATTTGGAGAATTTTTCTCATGATATTTGAGAGGATTCGACCTTACCGTTGTGAAACAGACATACATGTGCGAGTGTGTATTGATACGACAGTTGAAAATTCAATATGGTCCAGTAGAAAAAACCACGGATATTTGTTACGAAATTTACTCGGTCAATAAAATATCTCGATTATACGAAGAATTATTTGTCGTAGGAAAAAAAAATAGTAAATACACACTCACACACACTTCTCTTTATTGCATGCTTAAAATTATTGCGCGTGGGAAATGGAAATAATATAAATTTGGTCATATGTAGTGGTTAGGAAGAATTTGTTCCAAGAATGAAGAACCAGATTACTTATTCAGTGAGGCCTAATAATTAGTTATGATAAAATTGTGTTATTTGGGATTGATGTAAATTGAACATATTTTTGTAACATATTATTTTATTAGANAAAAAAAAAAAAAAAAAAAAGATTAGTGTGTAATAAATTGTCATGATTTTTCTTGGGGTGAAAATCCCAATCTTGGAAGATCACGGGTGCAGTTTGGATCACCATTATCCTTTATTTAATAAGACCATTTTTTGTGTCCTAAATACTACAAAGTAGTAGTTAACTTAAGATCCTGAATAATTGAAGCACACTTTTTGGTTTCACTGACATGTGTTGGTTGAACCTTTCTATAAACAACTTTCTACTTTGTAATATCCTATCCAAATTAAGGGTCATTCCTTGATTTCATTTGTTCATACTTTCATGCAAGTAGCATTAATTAGCCAAAATACCACAAAGCATAATTACTAAGAAAAAAAGAATATATATCTAATATAGCATGGCTAGCTCTGAAGCTTTTC